GTTAAACAGAGTTTGTAAAAACAGATTGAGTGTAATACAGTTAAACCTGTTTATATATAGGATTTTTGTAGAAATAAACCTTTTTTTAAATTGAAACTGTTTTATTTAAATGCATTAGTTTTAGCTTTATTTTATTTTGAATAAACAGGGTTGATTAAACTGTGTTTTATTCTGATTTTAGCTGAAAAGTTGAGAAAAATGTGTGTTGGTGAAACTGATTTTTTTTAAAAAATGTAATACCTTTTATCAACCAGCAGATGTCGCCGTTGCAAAGGAAAACACTTCAGCTTGACTCACCTTTGAATGACAGCAGCACCGCGGCTACTGACCAATAACAGAGCGTCTGAACAGGAAAACCCGCCTTCAATGCTTACCCTTCAAAGTAAAAACGGCTGCCCGTTTTTATAGTGCAAAAGTTAACAAACGCAGCTTTTACGGATATGAAACACTTTTGACTAAAATTCACCATATTTAAACCACAGTTTAAAACACAGCGTTTCGAAAATCGACAAGCGATAGCTTCTCACTACGCTAGCGATAAAAAACAGCTTATCTTAAGCTGGCGAGGTGAACCGGAAGTCCTGTGTGTTACCTTCCTGTTCCCTCTGAAACTCCGTCTGTTTTTACAAATTCTGTTTAATAGAAGTGTTTACCCTTACCAATATGTGAGGGTAATGACTTATGTAAAATAGGTCCCCCTACATCTTCCCATAACAAAGTTATGAGAGTAAATTTTACCAAGGTTTTTCTCATTACTTTAATATTTGTCTGTACAAAGTGAAGTGTGACACAATAAGGGAACGTCAGACGAGTTCAAGTTGATTCATAAAAGATTATGCAATCATTTATTTACACACATTGAACAAATCATACATTACACCTGATTGTGGATTTCCTATAACAAGCATCTAAGTTAAAATGAGATTAAAAAAACGCGTCCGACTTTTCTTTCACATTAAAACTCAGATTACTTATTTAGAACAGTAAACATCAGTTCTGATGTTAAAACTAAACAATTTACTGGCACTTCAACTTAGGGTTGGCAAAGGTAAAGGTAAGACAAGGGTAAGAAAATTAGGGATTAGTGTTTCTGCTTTTATTTTTGAAAGTCTTTTTCAGCGGGTTTTTTGTTGTAACTTCTGATTTTGCCGTTTTAAATCTTGATTTTCCTGTTCGGTTAGTTCAAGATCATCCTCATACTGCCGTATGAGGTTTCTGTTTTCTTTCATTGTTTCAGTGTGTTGAAAACATGTGATTGTCATTTGTGCTATTTTTAGCTGTCCATCATGGATTGCTGTTTTAGCTTCTAGGAGGTCCTGCATTCTAGCTTCTTTTTGGGCTTGCAGTTCCTCTTTTAGTTTGTTTTTTTGGGCTTCCTGTTTGTTTATTTAGAACTTTTTTTGCCCTTAAACAAAGACTAGCTTTCTTTAACTGAACTGTGGTCAGCCTTAGCTTAGCTTCCATTAGGTATGCTAATTTTGCTAGCATTTTTGAATGTTGAGTGTCATCATTTAGCACTTCGTTTAGCACCCGTACGGGCCACCAATATGTAAGGGTAATGACTTATGTAAAATAGGTCCCCCTACATCTAAGATGGGAAAAATAATCCACGTGGTGGTGCAACGATCGCCCGAATGAAGCCAAAGTAATTTTGAGGTTCGTCAAAATCTTTGTAAATTATATTGGGGTGACCGAGGGAGTATGAGCAGGTGGCATTCACAAACGGATACAGAGAACAGAAATCTTGCAAGATAATATTCTCATCTGGTTCCGCCGTGTACTTTAATTTAATTTAACAGTGCACGTTCTTCCTTTGAAAAGAGCATCCCATGGTGAGAGGGGAGCCGGAGCTTGAAATTTCTGGAGGAAATGTTTCAATTCGGGGTTTGTTTTGAGTCCACTCGTGCTCCCAAATAACCTGAACCTGGAGACTGTGGACTGATTTCATTGCCTGTAATTTTTCAATGGTGGTATTGTACAGCTCTGCAAATGGAACGTGTCTTAGAGGACATTTTTCAAGAGGCGAAAAGCAGTTTGGACATCCGTGAAAAAACAGCCGAGAAATTCAAAGGCATATTTCACACCCTGAAATTCTGAATGACTGTCTACAAAAAACTGCCCAAACTGCTTTTCACCTCGTTTAAAGCATGTTGAATAATCATTTTTTAGAAAATGCCAGCCAGTCTAACCATTGAACAGACACGTTTGAAAATGTTTTACATTGTCTAACATAGTTCACAGGAGATGGAATAGCGAGTTTATTCGGTTTCAAAAAATTGCTGAGAAAAACAGACATGCATGCTCCAGCAATAGTGATTTTATTAAATGGATCAATATGACTCTGTTGAAAAAATAGTCTGAATTTAAGGCAACCTCGGAAAAGAATTTCAACGTCGTTTCTATCATAAAAAGAGCTTTTTCAAAAGTTGAACGTTTTTTGAGACACTTGCATGTACCGTGTCAAATTTCTCTCGTTCTGTAGGTGACATTTTTTCCACACCGTAATCACCAGGTGGAGGAAATGCACCTACATATTTCAAATGCTGCTCCGAGGAAAATTTGTTTGGAAAAAAATCCTTTTGAGCTATTTGAAAAACCCATAGCCTTGGGCATGGCTGACAGTTTCATGCCGAGAAAACTAAGACTGTCTATAAACCTTAGATTAAAATCAGATTCGGTGAAGCACAATATTTTACTGCCTTGCATAAGATTGCCGGTTTTATCCAAGATTCACCATCGCATTGAGGATGAGATAGGAATCAAACCCACGAGCATCGTGTGCAATAAACATAAAATTCCGAAACAAAGGCCTTCTGAAATACATAATAAAATTATGAATGCAATCCAGACCGTAAGAAGACAACTCAGAACCTGTGATATTTTTGGTATACACCAGAAATGGTATGTGTACATTCTGCTCATCTGCAAATGTTTCAAGGTCATAAAAAATGATTTTATCATTCACACGGTCATCGACTGGACAAGGTTGAATGAAACAACGATGGCTTCCGAGCGTCACGTCTGCTCCTAATTATATGGGTTGATGACAAATGCTGCATTTTTGCTGTGCACAAATGTGGGGCATTTCTTTTTTAGATATGGGAATGCGATAATTTTTTTGGCATTTAAGGCATTTTTTAATCAGCTCGCAGTTACTGACGTTTTCTGCGCCACGGGTCTGCGAACAGCATTTTGATGTCTTAAAAAACATGCCTGATTACGACAAGTTCTTTTACACGATGTACATTTCACTGGACATAAATCTTGACTGGGACAGAGCAGATCATTACAGATTGGACAAAACCCTCCACAACAGTGTGTGTGTAAATTAATTAAGTGAGTAAAACAAAAGTTGCAGAAGTATTTACACCCCAAGAAAGCTTTGATATTTTTGATACCGTAATAATGATTGTAAAACAGAAAGAGAAAAAGTGGCCTAGTTCTGTCTGAAAATGTTGTTTCAAATTTTTGAATGGATGTATGATCGGAAACGCGAAAAAAACAGAAAAGTTTTTCGGTTCAGAATACTCTCGAATTTGCAAATATCAGAAAATGTTATAGGTGTCTGATCTGTAAAGCCGGCTTGATGTTGTAAAGTTCTGGCAAAATTTACAGCCTCGTCATCTGTTAAATAGGGATTGTAAGTGTACGATATACTAATCGCGAAACACAATTGATCATTTCATTCAGGGACGATGCAAAGATGTTTCCTCTTTTTATTTATTAATTCTGTGTCCAAAGACTTTTCAGCTTTCCGCTTGATTCCTCCCCTCGGATTTTTAACAATTTGAATGATGAATTATAAATCATTCTCCGAATCTATCTGTCCGTCAGATTGAATTAAACGGTCTAGAAAATCTGTAAATTCAGATAAAATGTTGCTTGGATTTTCATCGACTTGGAACGTAACGTTATGGGAAACGTTTTCACCAGATAACTCAATTTGAATGAGGTCATTTCTATGGGATAAAGATTCAACCCTGTCAGAGAGATTTGACAGAATACTCATAACATTGGTGTAATATTCGGCTAAATTCAGTGCGTTATCTGAACAAGGTATAAAAAACCGTAGGCGAATTTCATGGTTATTAAACCGTTCACAAGTGGAAATTTGCACATTTTGATTCTGTTCTGTTGAGGGTCCTGCTCTGTATCGACAAATGTCATCTGAAGGCACAGCCCCGAATCCTGCAACTAATTGATTAAGCTCGTGTAGAGCATTTTCACTCTGAGATAAATTTTGTAGAGTTTTCATCTGCCTGGATTTGAGAAAGATCTGATACAGCTTCCTCTAAACATTTAAAATTTTCACCAGTCTGAGATCTTTCTTCTGGACGAGTCTCCTGAGAAAATATCTCGTCAGGAGAAATATGTGTCAAGTTTACAGGCAAAGGGATTTCCCGTAATCTGTCTATTTCAGCTTGCAGATCAAATAGAGGGAGAATTGAAATAGCTTTGTCCAAAGTGTGAAAAAAGTCCACAGTTTGCTGTGTTTCATTTAATTGACTTTCCTGAGAAATGTTCTCATCAGGASAATTTTGGAAAGAGTTTACATTGACAGGCAATGGAATTTGTCTTAATTCATCTACGGCTKATTGAAGGTGATTTATAACGTCAAGTGACAAAGGAGGTTCATTTTTTCCTAGATACAACGAGCAGAAAAAAATCTTACAGTTCGTCCAATATTCTAATGCACAGGTCCACAGTCTTGCTGAGTGCGTCGAGACAGCGACGCTTCAAGAGGGCCGGAGAAAAATCATCAGAAAATCCTGTATTTTGTGGACCTGGTGAGAAGAAAAAAATGATGAGCTTATTTTACTCCATTTCTTTTTAATAAGTAATATAT